ATCTGGATATCTTCAGGAGATCGGAATTCCAGTTATGCAGTAGCCAGCTAATAGTCCGGACTTAAATCCCATCGAGCATATCTTGGACAAAATAAAAGAAAGGTTAGAGCCCGAAATCCAGTTCCCAAGGCGTTGGATCGACTGGAAGCCGCCTTAACAGAAGAATGGGAACATTTACCCCAAGAAGACATAAAAAAGCTCATCCGTTACCTTAATAGGCGTATGCATGCAGGCGGTGATAAAAGCAAGAGGAGGAAACACCCCATATTAGAGTGAGGTTTACATTTTTTTTAAATGTTAAAAAATGATATATCGATCATCCTCACATTAAAATCGTAAATTTTGTAAAATGTTGTGGTATCAATGTCTCATCACATTTATATATAAAATATCCCGTTTCACGCGCCGTTTTTTAGTTTTTTACAACCCCATAATTGCATTATTGCATTATCAAGATAAAAAATATCTATCGATTCTGGTAACGACTCATACTACTACTACATACCCACTTTTTTGAAAAAAATGTAGGGGCGTCGATTTTTTTGGAGGCCAGTGTATAAACCACTTTAACAAATATTCATCAACCTTCGTGTGCTTCGTTGTTCTTGTTTGTTTCATTTTCAAAAAATTACTGTCAAAAAGTGTGAATTTTTTCTCTATCATATCATCCCGTGAGGCGACAGAGGGAACCGAAACGGATGGGCAGCAGGGTCTTGCTGATAACTTGTTTGTGAGGCTGAAAGTTGTCGAATCTGCGTGCGAGACATCTCGTACGAGACGAATCGTCTCACTTCGTAATACTCTCGAAAACAGCACGTAGACGCGGCTCAGAAAGGAAATCGTTCTGTAGTTCTTCAAGAGAACGTTGTGCCGCTTTTCTTGAAGGACAAGACCAGCGCATTTCTGCTCCATGTCTTCGGCGTAGTTTCACCTTGGAGGATGGAATTAAAGAGCTTCTACAGAACTAAGTATCGGTTTTCCACCGATACGAGAGACTTGTGGGCGATAAATCCGACACCCCCTTGGGACAGATGGTCGCCCTCCCGGTGATAGAACAAGTTGCCGGATTGGAGGATTACCGTGACCTCCTTCTCTCTTCGGACCTTGCATAATCCTATTATATGTCAACGCAACTTGTCTGCCTGTTCTTACAGCTCCAGGAACTTCTCGTAAGTCCTCAGGGTGCGTGCGTTGTATGATTCTTAGCACCCCCTGCCCCGCCATTAGCATGGTAGACTGGGGGCCGTCTCTTCGTAATTCTACTCATGAAGGGTATATTGCCATAGTTGCCACGCTTGGCGAGCGGGTTGGCAACTGCAGATTTTTTTTGTACTATTGCTGTTAAGGAAAACGCTGCCTATCTTCTACCTTTTTTTTATAGAAGAGGAGGCAAACGAGCATGCGGCTCACCTGATGTTAAGTGGTTACCGCCGCCCATGATCAACCGCAACACCAGGGGAATTGCAGGTGCGTTGCCGGCCCTTTAGAAAAGAGTAAGCTCTTTTCTTGAAGGTCCCCAGGTCGTTGTACGGCGGAAGAAAACTCCTTTTGAAACGTACAGTGGTGGACCGCCAAGCATCCAGATGGTGTGGATGGTATCGGGACGTTTGCCGCGTAGTGCGTTCACGAAATTTGGCGGCTAGGATTAATCCGAACAATTCCTCAGAGCACTCTCCATGGTATATGCGAAAGAAAATGCAAAGAGATGCAACATCTTTCGCAGTGCCAGTGAATCGAGCCTATCGGAAAGCACTCGGTCGTCGACGATTCGAGCCGCTCTGCGCTGGATGCGGTCAAGTGGAAGGAGCTGGTACTGGGGAGCCCCAGCCCAGAGATGGGAACAGTATTCCATGTGCGGCCGAACCTGCGCCTTGTAAAGTTGCAGGCGATGTGTCGGCATGAAATACTGTCCCGCTCTGCTGAGCACGCCAAGCTTTTTAGAGGCCTATTTGGCCTTCTCTTCCAAGTGACCAGGTAACTGCACGTCACTCGATATGTCGAAGCCGAGGATTCCGATACTGGCTGAGGCTACAAGGGGAGTGCCTTGAAACTGAGGAGATACGACAAAGGGGTTCTTTTTAGCGGTTAACGCGCAAACTTGTGTCTTCTGGGGGTTAAAATGGACTAGATTTAGTCGCCCCCAATCCGAGACTCTGTTCAGCAAAGACTCGACTTCAGACACAAGTTTGTCCCGGTACTCGGGGACGTTATCCGAGAAATATTGGCACGGCCGGTGTAAAGAGCATCACCAGTGCTGTCATCTGCTTAGCTATGAATGTTACGAGTTTGTAACATATAATTGATATGCAGAAGAAACAGCGTTGGCGATAGCACGCAGCCTTGTGGAACACCAGCATTAATAGGCTTGTAATCGGAGCTTGCACCGTCTACAAAGATCTTGATGCTCCGATCTGCAAGAAAGCTGGTGAACCAATCGCACAATTTCTCGGGAAGCCCATAGGAAGGGACATTGGACTCTACTGCCTCCGCCCATCTGTGAGTTAGGTGGACCAGAAGATCACCAGCTGACTGACCACGGCGAAAACCGTATTGGCGATCACTAATCAGCTGGTGATCCTCAAGGTACCTCATGAGCTGGCAGTTTACAATGGACTCCATTGTTTTGGAGAACAAGGAGGTGATGGCGATAGGCCGGTAGTTGGACGGGTCTGAGCGGTCGCCTTTTTTAGGGATCGGGTGGACGAAAGCTGTCTTCCATGATTTTGAGACTACGCCTAAAGAGTAGGAGTACCGGAAAAGACGCGTTAAAACCGGTGCCAACTCTGGGGCACACGTCCTCAGCACAATTGGGGGGATTCCGTCAGGCCCACTCGACTTGTAAATGTCCAGGGAGGAGTGCTTTGCGAACCGAGCGCTGTGTGAACTGCACTTCCGGCATGGAACACTCACACCGCGGGATAGTCGGCGGCGTACTCCCCCCGTCATAGAGAGTCGAGTTGGACGCAAAGAAAGAGCCCAGCAGATCGGCTTTCTCCTTTGCGGTATGGGCCAGTGAGTCGTCCTCCCTGTGCAGAAATGAAAGAGATGGCTGACAGAAATTCCCCTGGACAGCCATGGAGAGAGACCAGAATGCACGGGTTCCAGAAGAAAGGCGAACTAGTTTCTCGCCAATTCTGCCTATGTGCTCTGACTTTGCCTTGGCAATGACTCTTTTAAAGGACCTAGATGCGGAATTATACTTCTTTTTTAGAGCACTGGTATTTACATCCCGGGACGTTGATGCGTCAGCCCAGGCTTGGTAGCACTCCTGCTTATAGCATGATGTTTTTTTACAGGAGCGACCAAACCATGTTTGAGATTTGCCTCCAGTGGGCACCACAGAGGAAGGAATAAAAAGTTCCATACCCTGAAGTACCGTATTAGCGACAGAATCCGCAACAACGTTGGGATCGTCCGGCGAGAAGCAAACCCGCCCCCAAGGGTACGATGCAAAGAAAGACCGCATCCCATCCCAATCGGCAGACCTATAGTGCCAAACACGTCGGCAGCCTGCAGAATACAACTGCGATTTCAGCGTGAGTACCACACTCCGGACAAGACAATGGTCCGAGGATCCTAAGGGGGCGTCAACGGAAATCTGATATCTGTCCGGGTGAGAGGTCAGCAGAAGGTACAACAGGGTAGGTGCATGATTCTCCACATCTGGAATCCGCGTAGGCGAAGTAACCAGTTGTGTCAGACCATATGCCAAGGCAAAATCATGAAAAGATCTCCCCGTATGATCGGTTAAACGTGAACCAAGCCATTCGGCGTGATGGGCGTTAAAGTCGCCGAGGATCACGATCTCTGCGGAGGGGATTTGCTGTAGCAGCGAATCTGTAGCCATTTGGACGTGGTCGAAGAGTCGGTCTGTTTCGGCATTACCGCTATGGGACCTATAGAGGCACCCGTAGACGCGCGGATGGTCGTCGCTGTCTACGCGTAGCCAAAGGATGGACAGGTCCGAACCTTCAAGACTGCCGAGGCGTCGAGAACAGATGTCCTCTCCGACGTAAACGCAAACTCCAGCCCGAGGCACAAAGGAGTGTTTCAGTTTGTACCCCGGATAGGAGAGATCCGAGACATCAGCCGGAGAGGACACCTGCGTCTCGGTCAGAAAGAGCAGAGCTGGCCTCGCCGTCTCGAGATAGTAGTGGACGGCGTTTAGGTTAGAGTGAAGTCCCCTGATATTGCAAAAATTCACGGATAGCGTGGCAGGGGTCGCCTTGGTCTTGTTGATCCGTTTGCCCCGAGCAGCTGTAGTCTTAAGTGGAATTTCTCCCCCCACAATACACGAGGCAGCCTGAGCACCCACGCTCAGGAGTGAAGAAACATGGTCGTGGATGCTCAGCGAGGGATTCTCCAGGGGTGCTGGTACCCTCCTGGGGTAGTGTATCATCATTTAATTCCGCTACCATGTTGATGGGGGGGGGGGGGGGATTTGGGCCTCCGGCCACCTGCACACACCAGACGAAACGTAAAAGCAGAGCTTTCACTTCACGCCGGTATTCTGTGAGGTCGTGGTACCACCCCGGTTTGAGCCGGCCCATACGTGCAACAGCAAAGCTGCCACGTGGCTCTACCACTGTTTCCCACCTGTTTCCCTCTGTCGCCTCTTACGACACCCACGGGAATTAAAAAGAAATATGGGGTAGTGGATATTCTCAACAGCCAGTACATGGCTAGTTTCTATAATGCAAGTGTATTATTAAGTCAAAACTAATTATAGCACTGTTATTCAAACAGCTCTTCCTACACATGTCATTCAACAACACATTGTGTAAAATTTATCTAAATATTTTGGTTTTCAAAACTTGTTGTTGCACAGCTATTTCATACTATGAAATGTCAAACATGGTTCATTTTAACATAATATTATTGTTTTTGAAACTATAACTCTCTTATATTGCACATGAAATTTTAAACTTATTTTGTGTGAATGATATGTAACAATTTTAAACTAGAAATTTTGTGGTTGTCTGTATAAAGTTTTTACAATTATGAAGCAAAAAGCTTATAGTTTAAAAATACTGCAACAATTTTATCGATATGGAGGTACACTGAACTCCAATTTAGAGAGTATAGAGCCCAGGGTCTTTTACTAGCTCTTTATTTATTAAAACTTGTTTATTAAGGAAGTAAAAACCACGGTAAAATATAACAGTTTGCGCATTAAAAAGGCAATATAATTAAATGATATTATTACTAAGATTGTAATGTAAAAAAGAAATGTTATGAATTTATTCTTTACTAGCGACAAATGATGAAATGATAACAACCCCTGGCAATGAGATGATCGCTACCAAGCTATTTCTAATTTGTTTTGTGTTGTTAATTGTGTGACATGTATGATTGTAAACTGTTGTTTTAAAGTCTCTTGGTTTCTTGGTGGTTCTTCCCAGGTCAGAGGTATTATCCGAACCAGTCGTAAATCGTAAACTTAACCCTTCAATCCCCATAAAAATCCCATGCAGTCGCATACTTCCGTCAAATCCCCACCGCACCCACTCACATCACTTTAAACCATTAAAACTTATATTTAGAGACTACTTTTCTATGAAGAAGTTTGGCATTATAAAATCTATACATATTCTCTATCCTGTGGTCTTAACAAAACTCAGGTTTTACAAATTTTCTTTACAAAAAGATTTTATTGTATTTTGATAACAAAAAAACATACCAAGCGGATGTCGGCAGCGTGAAAATCACAATTATTTCTATATATTACTCGAAATTATTTACGTAAAAATATAAATTATATTCACAAAAAAACTTTCATTACAATTTTATAATAAAACACTACACTAAAACACAAAACACCACAAAAATCCAACAATCAACACAATAACATTCACACGAAAATGGCGTACGAAATGAACGTAGATTATAAATAAATATCCATAGACTAACTGGCTTTTTATTCCACTAGAGGATAGACAATTTCATATTGATTCTATAATGCCAAACTTCTTCATAGAAAAGTAGTCTCTAAACATAGGTATTTATGGGATTAAGTGCTGTGGGTGAGTGCGGTCACATTTGACCTCTAGCATTTCAAAGTCAAATTTGGACGCTTGGTAGCTAAATAAGTTAATGCTTATTATAATAAACACATAAGCGGCGTGTGGAACTACGTTAAAAAAGAAATACATTTTAGTTCTTGAAAAAAATATTGTTTATTTATAACTTTATATATATATATATATATATATATATATATATATATATATATATATATATATATAAGTATATATAATGCATTGTTTCATAGGTCTAAATCTAAAAACATATTCGCTTTGTTATCTTTCTAATGAAACCAGCTTGGGACACATTAAATGTGAAATATTGTGTTTAAGTAAAATTGCTAAAAATGGTCGCGGCGTGAGAATCCATTACCCTATTTCGTCTTCTATGTGTCTATACTTATATAGTTGATGGGCAGCCGAACTGAATTTATCGATAGTTAAATAGAAACTCAGAAAGATTTCCCTCCCCTGCCTCCACCACTACCGTACATTAAATCACTTTAAATTTCACATGGTCTCAGGAAATATTAGTGGCGTTTAATGTCTCTTTTGTTACATGGTTGAAAATTAAGTACTTACAATTCTTTTTATTTGTTTGGTGCTGGTGTTGATGCCTGCATTAATACTTCCCATACAATAAAAATTCCTCTAAGCTACGACGATTCTAACATTTCGTAAATTTTGCACAGGTGAAGAGCCTAAGCGTCAAAGCTTAGACGCTCGTCCAAGTGAGTCCCGAGATATCCGTACATCATACGGAGGCAATTCTAGAAACTACGACCGTGGTGGTCGGCGCGACGACCGCGAACGTGACCGCGACCGTGATTACGATCGCGGCTACGACTCGCGATATCCGCGCAGAGACCGCGGTGAGTATTTGCATGCTATTCGACAATTTGTTTGAGGATTAACTATACTTATATATTTAATTGATTTATCATTGATACGCTCCTTGTTGAGTTGTTTACAATTTTAATTTTAATGTTTTCATAGCTTAACATTATAAAGAAAAATAAAGTATGATACCTACTTATATTGTGCTGACACAAACTATTATTACGATAAGTTTATTTCTTTTCCTAGTATAATTGTCACCATAGCCAAATTATTATGTTTTGCAATATTATATCTTGCACTCTTAGCAAGTTTATTATTTACGTAAATAAAATAGACAGCTAATTTGGATTTAGCCATACCTAAACTAGGTGTATTAAGTTACGTTCTTTTAAATATGATTTTGCAAATGCTTTTTATGAATTAGTAAACACCAAATTGATTTGTTGTCCTTACTATCATATCCTTTTTTAATATTTTTTCTTTTACATGCCCACACAGAGCAATGTAAGTGGCATTCAGTTATATTACCATGTATTTTTGAGAAATTGAAAACAAAATTCAAAAGTTACCTTACAATTCATTTAGTGTACTCGTCATTCATACGGTTAGAATAATTTTGATCCTTTTATAGTTCAAAAATTATTTTGCTTATGCTTCTTTGATGACTCACAAGAAGGTTAAAATAAAATTAAAATAAAAATACTTTAGAATTCCATTAAGTTATCGATCTATAAATATACGATTTCAATTTATTACATTGAAAAGTTTTCTGTGTTTAGTTTTCAATTATCTTTATTCATATATATGATTTTCGTAAAATGTTTTTTTTTCTTAAAATAAGAAAAATACTCAGAGTAATTGCAACCAAGTTCCAATAATATATAAATGTAACAAGAAAATTTCATATTGATTTCTATATTTTTCGTGTAACTACTGTATCACAAACAGTACTGATATCATGAATAAAAAATTATTAACAATAATTTAACCTTTTCTTTTGCGTAACTCGCAAATATAGCTATAGAATCTGGCCCAGGTCGTGATACCGGATACCAGAATGGAGAGTCAGATCGCTGGTCCGAGTCGGAGCGATGGAGCGAGCGTGGAGGGCGCGGGCGCGAGCGCGACGTGCGCCGCGACGAGGACACCGAGCCGCCGGCGCCGCGCAACGACCGTTGGAAAGAGCCCGAGCCGCGCACCGAGGAGCGCACCAACTCGCGCTGGGCCTCGGACGATGTGCGTCGCACGAGCTCCCGCAGGGACGAGGTAACGCCCACACCAACCTGCAAATCTTAACGCTATTTCAGAAACTATTAAGCTAACAGTCCTTGGTCAATACCTACTGTGGACAATGGATATTACAAAAATAAATTATGGTTTAAGAACTTAATTTCTCATTAAGAATTAATTAATAATTCAGTAACTGAGATACTAAATTTAACAAAATATACATATATTGTGTGGCAGTATCTCTACGTTGAATATTTATAATACATAATATATAAAATAAAATAAAAAAATCATAGAAAATGGATCACACAACTGTAGTCTTCTTGTTTGCTTTTATATGTCTTAATAAATAAATAAAGCTTGTTGAACAGAAATCATTTAAAAGTATTGTGGCGGCGCTGTCGTCGCGCCGCAAGCGAAACACACCGAAGCCTAAATCACGCTATCAACATTCCGAATCATAAGCAGTATATATAGAACATCTCCGAACTATCACACGGAGTATCGGCCGCTCCCCGGGCAGAACACCTTGCCTGGCGGGAGATCTCCGCTTTTCCTTCACGGCCACAGTCACGTCACGTCGGTATCACCAATGTGGCCGTAAAGGAAAAGGGGATATCTCCCGCCGGGCAAGGTGAAAGCCGCGTAACGAGTATTCGACTGTCGTTTTATTAGGGACGCGTTTGAAAAATTGATAGATATAGAATCGAACTTCTATATTGACACGAGTCACACACAAGCATACGCACGGTTAGCGTTTGAAGATTGGATCTTTGAAGTGAATAATCTTTAGGATAGTTATGATTTGAACGTCTATGAAACGAAAAAGCGACAGGCACATAAATTCATAAGATTTAACAAGGGAGAAAATGAGATAGGAAGCATTATAGCTCAATGTTCGCGAGAAGTCGTAAACGCCGCCGAAACGCCGGCGTCGCTTACGCGTTTTGTTCAATAAGGTACGACGAAGGTGTCGTGTGCTATGGAATAAATAAGCAGTGAAGAACGGCCAAAGCTGAACTTCATATAGGTAAAATTGATATAAATCTTTTTGTAATTAGTGAGTACTTATATAAGGTCCTATATCGAAAAGAGTATAAACATTCGAAGGGAAAATAATCTACTCGTCGCAAAAATTAATGGCTGTCCCGTACTTTTAAAAGTACATTAACAATATCGAAGACTTCTTTAGATATTTTAACACATTTTAAAAATATGTCGTTTAAATAAAATAAGAAATAAAATAAATAATACTAATTTGAATTAAAAAAGAACCATTAATACCGGTAGATGCAGTCGAAACTGGCTTGCCGTAACGCCTTTTTGCAAGAAATGGCGGCTTGGTTAAAAGCTCTCTTCTTAAGGCTATCATCTGGAGCTTTGCGGTCTCGAGCATCGACACAGGATAAGTATGTCATATGCTTGTGCTTTTCAGCACGAGCGCACTTAGCGTTGAACCGTGGGCCAGCTTGGCCACCAATGGGCACGTCAGCAAAGGGGATGAAGTACTCCATCGCTTGACGTATAACATCGGTTATGGTATCCGCGCAGCTTGACGGATCTTCAGATGAGAAGCAGACCTGCCGCCAAGGATAAAATGCAAAGAATCATCTCATCCCAGTCTGCTGATTTCTATCGTCACACTCGCCGCACACCGTGGCAATCGTAATTGGCTGTTAGCCATGTGCCCATCCACATCAGGTACCCTAGTTGCTTGTTGTACCAGTTGGGAGTCCCAGCAAAAAGGCAAAATTCCACGCCTCTCTCCCAGTGTGATCAGTCTTCTGGTATGGGAACAGCCTGTCCTGATGACAGGCATTAAAGTCCTCTAGAAAAACCAACTGTGCATTAGGGTACCGATTTAGAGCAACATCAGAGGCTTCACTGAGGTATTCAAAGAGCCTAGTTGTCTCCTGGTCACCGCTGTGCGATTGGTAGACACAAGAATAAACAATTTTATCAATTCCTGTGTCTATGAATACCCAGATCGTAGAGAGTGTGGTCTTCAAGGTGACGGAGGCTCTTACAGCAGATGTTGTTGCGGACATAAACACAGACTCCGGCGTGCTGATGAAAATTATGCTCCAATGTGTATCCAGGGTAGCCTAGGCACGCCGCATCTAAAGGACATCTGATCTGCGTCTCAGTCAAGAAGAGTAAGTGCGTCTTGTCAGTCTCAAGATGGTAATAGACTGCATTGAGATTACAGCGCAGGCCTCTGATGTTTGTGAGGTGCACTTTGATGGAGAGGGAGTACAACCGCTGTACAAACTTACTCTTCTTTTTTTACTTTTTTCATAATTGCTGGAGTGAATATGTTGAGAGAATGGCAGTTGGATGAGGCGTCACACATATAATCTAGGGGCGAAAACATAGTCACAACATCGATGGTACCTAGCATGGAAATCGCGGGGACGCCCGAACCCCCTGAAAGTCGCCACCAGGCCCTCCTTCGGTCGCCAACCGGCATGGTGGAGACATCCCGGGATTTTTCGTAAAATGGCAAGGCAGCCTTTCATGACATGCTGGCTCATTGATTGTGCCCCCAACTATCTACGGTCGGCCAGAGGTGCAACCGTGCATCGGATCCCACTAACCTCCATAACCAGGCACCTGACACCAAGAAACGACCGCGTCGCAACTGGTTCTTATGCGCAACGCAACAGTCCAGACCCATTCTCTCTATGAAATGGGTTGCACCTAACATCATACCGGAACACGACTTCCATCATTTGGCGGTATGTCTTTGTCAGGTGGGTGGTAACGAACCCTCGGCTGGGCCTCTCACTAGTAGAGGACCAACCTACCACCAGTATGTAGTGCTGCTCGTTTAGCACTGCAAGGGGATGCGTGTAGGGGAGTCAGGATTCAAGTAATTCCTATGGATGCGAGCAGCTTCATCCCCAAAATTAAAAATTTTAAAAATTACTAAAAATGTGTTAAGAAATAAATTTTAATTTAATACCTGCATGTCAAAATGGTAGAATGTATGGATCTTTTATGTTCTCTATCAACACCTTATTGTGTATATCTACATTCAATGCAAGTAAATAAATATTCTATTCTATTTAATATATACCAAATTCAGATACATTTAAATCTATTTATTTGTGTAGAATGACTGGACGATCCCGTTACCTCGCGACGAGCGGCAGGAGTTGGAGCTGTTTGGCACTGGCAACACTGGCATTAACTTCTCAAAATACGAGGATATACCGGTTGAGGCCAGCGGCGACCGCGTACCGGACTTTATCACCAGCGTTAGTAACCCCACTTTAATTACTCACTTTATTTGTATTTTTTACATTTTTAAAATTATATAATTCTATTAAGAGTGATATTTCTCGTACTTCCATTATTTATTCCCCGATTCTTTTAAAAAGTATTTTTTCGACAGTTTGAGGATGTTAACTTGACGGAAATAATGCGTTCGAACATTATGATGGCTCGTTATGACAAGCCGACGCCGGTGCAGAAGTACGCTATTCCTATAGTATTGGGACATAGAGACGTGATGGCATGCGCTCAGACGGGTTCCGGCAAAACCGCCGCTTTCCTGGTGCCAATACTCAATCAGATGTATGAAGCGGGGCCCGTAAAAAATATGGGGTAAATATGAAATCACTTTATTTTATTTAAAGGGGTATTTTTATAGAAAATTTGGCAAACAAGTCGTAGCCTATGCCTTGCAAATGTGTTGTCTGCCAGCGCTAATGATGAATAGGATGAAATTCCTCACAATATGTAAGCAAATACACTGACACTGACTCTCTTACACTTCAAACTAGATATGTGTCATTCATTCATTTCCGAACTGGGTCATTCGAACCATTCATTCAAATGGATCATTTCGAGTATGAGTATTCTGTGATCTGAGACCCGCTCTATAATGCTGGTTGTCAGGAATTACTTTACTTTAAAAAATGTAATAAATATTCAAAAAATGTAACAAATGTAATACGCCATAAAATGTAATAAACATTCAAAAAATATAATTGCAATCATCAATACTTTGATGCGACCCAGGTCAAGTGAACACATGATTCACAATTGACACACATGTCTACTTCAAATCAGAACATAGCTGTTGGTGTACTACTTTTTGGCGGAAGTATTAGGTATGCCGCCCGACTTACCTAGTTGGACTTTAGGCAAAATATGAGCTCAACCACAAAGTAATATATTATATCATTAGATCATTTACTTGTATTAGTGCCATTTACAGAATCTACAGGTTAAAATGTTATTTATTTGAGTTTGTGATGCAGTGGACTATTTTTAATTTATAATGTTTTTTATCTCAGACCATACAAGCCACGCAAACAGTATCCCCTGGGATTGGTGTTAGCTCCAACTCGTGAACTCGCCACCCAAATTTACGACGAGGCTAGAAAATTCGCCTACCGTTCCCGTGTGCGACCCTGTGTTGTGTAAGTTGAGAATATACAATTTATAATAAGATTATGACAATAATCCGTATTTTAAGATGTTGTTTTCTAGTATACAGTAGAAAATGCACTTAAAAAATTATATGATAAACTCTGTAGTTCATCTGAAGAATATTGTAACATTGCTGCTTTGCAAAGAATCTGATAAACCTGGTTTTAGCTAACCTAACAACATTTTATAGTGACCATATTAATTTTAATAGTCTTTTATGTTTTAAATATATAGATTGACTTGGCAATCGCATTAAGCAATCTAATTTAATATAATATGTATTACTTGTGAGAAACAATGCATTTTCATATAATATTATTATATGAAAATGCATTGTTTATATTATTATACAATGCATTTTCATATAATAATATTAAAACATAAAACTATACAGGGGGTGCTAAGAATCTCCGGTGGAGGTTCGGTTGCCACCTACGACGACTCGACCTGGCAACATTTAACGCACGCACACTGAGGACTGACGAGAAGATCCTGGAGCTGGAAGAAGAGATAGACAAGTTGCGCTGGAGTATTATAGGATTATCCGAGGTCCGAAGAGAGGGGGGAGGACACGGTGATTCTCGAATCCGGCAACTTGTTCTATCACCGGGAGGGCGACCATCTGTCCCAAGGAGGTGTCGGATTTATCGTCCACAAGTCTCTCGTCAACAACGTTGTACAGATTGAGAGTGTGTCGACGAGGGTCGCGTACCTGATACTCAGAATCACCAAACGGTATTCGCTGAAGGTCATACAGGTTTACGCACCAACGTCGGCACATTCCGATGAGGAGGTGGAGGAAATGTATGAGGATATTTCCAAAGCCATACATTCCTCCAAAACCCACTACACGGTGTTGATGGGAGACTTCAACGCAAAACTAGGCACAAGAGAAAGCGGTGAGCTGAAGTTAGGGAAATTTGGAGTAGGGCAACGGAACCGAAGGGGCCAGCAGCTGGCCGACTTTATGGAGAAAGAGGGACTCTTTATGATGAACTCTTTCTTCCAGAAGCGGCCCCACAGGAAGTGGACCTGGTCGAGCCCCGACGGTTCGACAAAAAATGAGATTGACTTCATTATGACGACCAGACGCCAACTGTTCAGTGATGTCTCAGTGATCGCAAGGGTGAAAACTGGCAGCGATCACCGAATGGTTAGAGGCACACTGAACCTAAACGTTAAGTTGGAGAGGTCTCGTCTAATGAAGTCAACGCTCCGTCCCCCCTCGTGCTCTGATCCAAAATCCCGAAAACTTTCAGCTCGAGTTACACAACCGCTTTCAGTGCCTACAAGATTGCAATGCAGTGGACGATATGAATGACAAGCTCGTGGAAACTGTCCATGCGGTCGGAGCTAAGTTCTGCAAGACCCGCCGCAGAAGAACACAAAAACTCTCCGATCACACTCTTAATCTCATGGCTGTTAGACGGGAGATGAGGCTGCAATCGTCAACAGATTTGACAGCATACAGGCAACTGAACAGACAGATCTCCAAATGCATGCGGCGAGACTTACGCAACTTTAATACTGCTCGTATTAAAGAAGCGATCGAGCGGAACCAGGGCTCCAAAGTCTTTGCCAGAGATCTATCTGCCAGAAAGAGCCAACTGTCAAGGCTGAAGACTGAGTGTGGCAGCATCGTTTCCGGGACACCTGAGATTTTGAGTGAGATTGAGAGGTTCTATGGGCAGCTGTACACATCATCGTTGGAGCCACACGCAAGTGTGAGTAACGATCCAAGAGCAAGTCTTATCCGACACTATTCCGATGATATCCCGGACGTCAGTCTAAGCGAGATTAGAAGGCGAGGATGGAATTACAGCGGAGCTTCTGAAAGCGGGTGGAACACCGGTACTTGAAGTCCTTCAGAAGCTCTTCAATTCCGTCCTCCATGGTGGCACTACTCCAGAGGCGTGGAGCAGAAGTGCGGTGGTCTTGTTCTTTAAGAAAGGCGACAACGCTCTCTTGAAGAACTACAGACCGATTTCCCTTCTGAGCCGCGTCTACGTGCTGTTTTCGAGAGTCATTACGAATCGTCTCGCACGCAGACTCGACGACTTCCAGCCTCCCGAACAAGCCGGTTTCCGAAAAGGCTTCAGTACCATAGACCACATACATACCCTGCGGCAGATTGTACAGAAGACTGAAGAGTACAATTTGCCACTTTGCCTGGCGTATGTGGACTATGAGAAAGCCTTTGATTCCGTCGAAATTTGGGCGGTGCTGCAGTCCCTTCAGCGGTGCCAAGTTGACTGTCGGTATATTGAAGTGCTGAAGTGTTTGTATAGTAGGGCTACGATGGCTATCCGAGTACAGAACCAGAGCTCGAAACCTATCCAACTGCAGAGAGGTGTAAGACAGGGTGACGTTATATCCCCGAAACTCTTCACCGCTGCTTTGGAAGACGTTTTCAAGCTACTGGACTGGAAAGGATACGGTATTAACATCAATGGCGAGTACATCACTCACCTTCGATTTGCCGACGATATAGTCCTTATGGTAGAATCGCTGGAGGACTTAAGCACTATGCTCAATGACCTCAATAGTGCCTCCCAACGGATAGGTCTTAAGATGAACATGGACAAAACAAAGATTATGTTTAATGTCCATGTCACACCTATGCCGGTAGTTGTTGGGAGCACTATGCTCGAAGTTGTTGACGAGTACGTTTACCTGGGACAAATAGTCCGACTAGGTAAGTCCAACTTCGACCGAGAGGTCAATCGACGGATTCAACTCGGCTGGGCAGCGTTCGGGAAATTACGACATATCTTCTCGTCAGGTATACCTCAATCTCTGAAAACTAAAGTGTACAACCAGTGCGTGTTGCCAGTGATGACTTACGGATCAGAGACGTGGTCCTTCACTGCTGGCCGTATGAGGACGCTCAAGGTCGCTCAGCGAGCTATGGAGAGGGCTATGCTCGGAGTTTCTCTGCGTGATAGACTCAGAAATGAGGATATCCGCAGTAAAACCAGATTGACCGACATAGCCCAACGGATTAGTAAGCTGAAGTGGCAATGGGCCGGCCATATAGCTCGAAGAACCGATAACCGATGGGGAAGAAAGGTTCTCGAGTGGCAGCCTCGTACCGGTAGGCGTAGTGTAGGGCGACCCCCCCACTAGATGGAGTGACGACCTGGTAAGATATGCAGGAAGTCGATGGATGCAGGTGGCTCAGGACCGTGCTTTGTGACATTACTTGGGGGAGGCCTATGTTCAGCAGTGGACTTGTGAAGGGCTGTGATGATGATGATGATGATGATGATAAAACTATAAAATGTTAGGTTAGCTAATTACATAATAACTGAGAAGGATCCTTAAGTGGGGACTGAATAAATTAACCGACTTGGTATTACTTGGATCTCACAACTTTTTATGGTAGAAGAATTGAGTTGCGAGACTTGGTTTTTTTTTCACAAGTTATATTTTCGATAGCATCTAATTAATATAAAATATAACTAATAGTACAGAAAGAAACATTAACAAAATTAACTTCCACGCTATGAAATCTCAAATATTACATCTAATTTTTAAGTGGCGCCACCCTGGTGGCAGAAAATAATCGTGGTTGCATTTTTACACTTGTTTGTACTTGCCTTTTTTATTGCTTTCAAATATTTGGTTCTGTTCTAAAGCTACAGTTTAATTTATTTAGATATGGAGGTTCCCCAGTTCCTGATCAACTGCGTGAATTAGAACGAGGCTGCCACCTGCTGGTGGCCACACCCGGTCGTCTCGTGGACATGTTGGCTCGCGGCCGTGTCGCACTCGACCACTGTCGTCACTTGGTACTTGACGAAGCTGATCGTATGCTTGACATGGGTTTCGAGCCGCAGATCCGAAAGATTGTCGAGTGCCACACCATGCCCAAAACTGGTGAACGACAGACCTTGATGTTCTCAGCAACCTTCCCCAAGCAGATTCAAGTACTGGCACAGGACTTTCTGCATAATTATGTTTTCTTGGCAGTTGGACGTGTTGGGTCCACATCAGAGAATATTACACAAAAGGTAATATTTTCATTGATCGGCTAAGAGATATTGTTACACTAATTGGAATTAAATTAATTTCGTATAAATTTTTTAGGTGGTCTGGGTAGAGGAGTCACACAAGCGTTCATTTTTGTTGGACTTGTTGAACGCCTCTAATTTATTACAACGTGCGCGCCCGGAAGAAGATCAACTTACCCTTGTTTTTGTTGAAACTAAGAAAGGTTTGTATTTACTCGTATCATTTTTCTTTATGTATTTTTTTTAATTTAATTTAAAAAGGAATTAAAGTTGTTATTCCCTTACACAGAGTCAGGGATGAAACGACGCGAGCAAATACAAGTATATACTTACTCAATATTTTTCTTTCGATATCAAGTACTTTTGGTATTGATAATTTAAAACTGAGTAACAAGTATCTAAAGAAAAGTACTTATATCGGTGCTTGATCAGTCACACACTCACGGACACTTGACGAGTGAATACTGATTATTTGTCAAAACTCATGTTCGATAGATCGTTTTTGTTATCTGGCGCGAAAATGACTGCTTATAGAAATCGTAAAACATCCAGAAATATTGATATTAAGAAACACATAAAAAATGACCTTATTTCATAGTTCCTTATTAACTAACACTTCTCACGGTACGGATACGGTTTAGCATAGAGAAAAGGAATTGATACCTTGATGGTATTGTTTCATTCCTACAGAGTAATGTACGCTACACACCAGTTTTATCTGTGCGATTTATCTGAACCATAGACTTGGAATATACTGGCATATAGACGACCTGACAGCTCGAAAACATGATGTGTGTTATTTTTGACCGGAATACATAACTCTTGAACAAATATGACCGTCTTCTTAATAACTGCATTTGATTTATTTTTAATCCTCGAAAGTATGATCATGTGTCTACTTATCGCTCTCAACTTAACTGGTTTCCCATTCGTCCGCGTCATAGTCGACGTGCGCTCACTACTCTTTATTCCGTCCTGATCTCTCCTCATTCTCCATCTTATTTAGCTCCTCATTTTCAATATCTTAGCTCGAATATAGTTCTTCGTTCAACTAATAACCTTCTGCTTCAGTATCCCCCTTAAAGTATTAGCTTTGTTCTATCCTCGTTTTTAGTCTAATCTGTTCTTTGAAACTCTCTTCCGAAATCAGGAGGACCGATAACCAGTTTTTGTTTAAATTCAAAAGTCGAAAACTTCTCGTAAATAAAGTGGCAGAATTAACCCAGTTATTTATTATTACTAACAACTTAGTTATCTTTATGTTTAATATATGTTTGTAGTACCTGGATGACCGAGCTTTGCTAGTTTTTTTTTTGAAATTACATTTAGATAGAAATTACATACTGATGAATTATGAATATTATTTTTTGATCTTATTGACATAATAGAAAAAACTGAACTGATCATTTGAATAGAAAATCAAGAGTGCAATTAGTTTAATTAATATTTTCGTATTTTTAAAAAATACTAAAAAAAGTTCTCGAAATAATAGATTTTCTCGCAAATGAAAAAAAGGAAAAGAAGTTGGACCGAAGACAGGACACGAACCGAGGCATTACCGATTTTGCGACCGCTCGATATCCACTTGAGCTATTACGATCGTTAACACAGTGTCAAAATTTACCTTCTTATATTGTAGAAGTTTTTCATTGCCTGAAAACACGGACAAAAAGACATTTTCTAAAAATAAATCCTAGCTAGATCGATTTATTGCCCACGAAACTCCCTGGACACTAAATTTTAGGAAAATCGTTGGAGCAGTTTCCGAGATTCTGATTTTAAAAAAAAATATAAATATATATATATATATATATGTATAATATGTGTGTGTGTGTGTGTGTGTGTGCGCGTGTGCGCGTATGCGCGTGCGCGTGCGCGTGCGTGTGCGTGTGCGTGTGCGTGTGTGTGTGTGTGTGTGTGTGTGTGTGTGTGTGTGTGTGTGTGCGTGTGTGTGTGTGTGTGTGTGTGTGTGTGTGTGTGTGTGTGTTAGACTGTGTAGTTAGTGCTGTGTGTGTGTGTGTGTGCATATTTTCAGTGAACATAATATGGGAGAAAGGGAGTGTTGCCCACGACCGTTTTGTAAAGTTCCCTATATTATGTGTTACCACGTTATAAATTACGAGTTTAAATTGCAGGTGCTGACCAGCTCGAGGATTATTTGCACAGCGAGGGCTACCCAGTGACGTCGATCCACGGCGACCGCACGCAGCGCGAGCGCGAGGAGGCGTTGCGTCGCTTCCGCTCCGGACAGACGCCAATACTCGTGGCCACGGCGGTGGCCGCTAGAGGTTACTACTTACATTTTTACTTTTTTTTTAAATAAAATTGAAGTGACAAATTAACATACAGTCTACCTTGATGGTAAAAAACCTATAGCCAACTTCAAACAAAGAAAGCTAGAGAAGCCTTGACACCTCTGAGGACTAAGATTGAATGCTTTTAATTTATAATCTGACTACCTTCTACAAATCGAAACACAACAGCCATTTTAAAGATTAGCCTGTACAGACATACAGACATTTTAATGGCATGCAAATAACCCCCTCAGCAGATAGACACGTCAATTTTATTTACGTGTAAAGATAAAAGATAAGTGTTAAATAGAAAGAAAAAAATTGATCATTCAAACTACATGATTAAAGAAGATAATGTGTTAGATATTATATACTAATTAGATTTTTCATATTAACAAACAACAAAGACGAAAAAGGAATTCAATAAATAAATTGTAACTTTGTTCTGCAAGCTACAGGCAATAAAAAATAGGTTTAAATTTAAAAATACGTACTTTATATTATACAATCTTTTTATTAAATTGAATTAAGTGCGTGCAATCGGTTCGCGTTGATAACTTCGTGTTATAGGGTTTTTTCATGGACTATATCGTATCAATCTGAGCAGATTATTTGCAGAAAATTACGGTTTTATAAAGACATAATCCTTATTTCGTGCACTACAAATGGTTTTTTAGATTGACTAAAAATCTCACAGTGTTTTACGGAAATATGCGTCAGAGTTATCTTTCTTATTATAATGAGCTAAAATACTTAATTTTAAGCCTTATTATAACAGAATATAGGGTCTCAAAGTGCAACATAGAGCCTAAATTACGAAAATATTGTGGTTTAACACTAAAAAACAACAGTATGTCTTCCAAAACTGTCTCTTCACTGTCAATTTTTCTGTTAATAAATATTAACCTATTATATTATTTATTTTATCAAAATGCTGGTATTGCTAAATATCCTTATTTTTTAGTTCGTTTTATTTACTTAATTGTTTTATACGATTGTGTTAAAAATAATATATATTAGCGCGCACTAACGCCGTCCGATCGGTGCCCGGGTTCCCGCTAGGACCAATAAAATTGTTATGAAGGAAAACATCATCAGGAAAGCTGCATGATTTCTGAGAAGTTTAAATAAAGAAAAAACATTAAACTGTTACTAATTAAATTGTGAGCACATCGATGATAGCAATTTGACATTGACAGCGGCTTTATGTCGTAGCAGTAAGGGCGGCTCTTAGCCGATTTCTAAAAAAGAAGGAAACTCTTAATTCGACTATACGTTTTTGTACGTATGTGACGCAATATCTTCGTCAAAATTGTGTACTGATTTTGATGGTAATTTTTTTATTAGGTAGGTTATAGTACGGGTGGGGGGGAGGACCATATAAATTTGGAGACAAGTCACTCCTAAAGGTGGCAAAATAGGAGATGAAATCTTATATTTACGCGAACCCTACACATTGAAATAACACTAGTTTTTACGGAATTTATCGCGTATATTTAACTTTTTAAATACCCGACGTTTCGAGAGCTTTACAGCACCCATGGTCACGGGAAGGACTGAGATGTTCAACGTCCAGATGTCATAGTTAATCGCGGTTACCATAGATTAAAATTTTAATCTAAAAAAACGAAATGAAAATTATAATTTAACAATTTAAATGACCTTCTAGAGAACGAGACGCACCTACGTCTCGTTTGTTCGAAATATATTTGGCAGATTTTCAAACAGTTTGTATAATGTGTAGATATTCGATTTACTTCATCTAAAATTTAGAAACTATTTATATCGTTATTAGATATATCGCATCAACTTAAATAATGTTTATTGTTGAACCAAAATTCATACAGTGAACAAATAATATAATTTTCAAGCAACATCGTAGTTTGTTGGTTGTTCTAAAGCAATCGTGTAGATTTTGACTTGAATTTATTATAATGCAAGATAACATTTAACATGTAATTAGCCTGTAAAATTATGTTTGTGTCACAAACATAGTAATTTGAAACGAAAGGTGTTCGGTTCCGGCGGCAGGGAGTGGCTTCGGCTGCATTCGGTATGCACGAATGTATGTCCAGCCAAATAATAAATAAGACTCATTAAAACAAGTGTGCTTATGACCACACGACTGAAGTAAAACTTCTCTTGCTCCATCTGTATATATATATATATATATATATATATATATATATATATATATATATATATGTATAATTTTCTACAAATATTTAAATTTATTTATCCGCTTCCTTCCATAATTTGTTATTATTCATCCGAAAATTAACAAAACATGAACTTTAAAATGAATTTACAATTTTATTCACTTTAAACGTAGAAGATTTAATGTGTTGAACAAAATATTAATTCTTAAAATTGTTCAAAACGAAATAAAATTACGAAAAATAACTGGTCACGAGAATGTGCGCGGGCACTGCTCTCTCTCTTCCCCCTTAACTCCCGATCACACTTTTCGTAACGCTTTCGTCACGCGTTCGAAAGCTTACTCCCCAAGTCAAGTGTGCGTAAAGAAGTTTTACTTCAACAAACTATATGTATCAGCTTTTTGCTTTCTACAATGCGGCTGATAATGCTGAATTTTAAGGCCGAATACGTCGCGATTGACCTTGCTCGTTTCGCAGCAAACCACGCGCCGTCTATCGAACATCACGTGTGTTACCCGTACGCTTTGTTTATATAGACATGTAGGCTTTGATTATATTACATTTGACTGAGCTAGCTCAGTATGCAGAGTAATGAACAACACAGAGAGCATTGCTTACTTCTTAATTAAATATTTCTTATTTATAATATTAGTTCCTATAGATTATAAATTCTGTACTTTATTCGTTATAAAATATTGTTCGAAATGTTATTGAATTGCTATCGATTTTTTTCTTAATTGGTGCATCGTACGTAAAGAACCTCATATAACTGAAAATGTTTGTTCTTGTGAGTCTTACAAGATGCCGTAATACAAATTGCATAAATAATAAGAAAAAAAACTAACAAGTCTGTGATTGTCCCATAGTGGGGATAGGTACTGTGTATGTAAATTCTCACAAGACTACTCCGACTGGTCAATCACTTCACATCCGAAGTATTTCGGTTTTTCTTAATTATGTACTTACCCCATGCTTTCGGACAATACATTGACTATGACATTATTTGCGGTCTCTGTGCTTGCACTGCTCTGTACATTCTTTTCGTGCTTGGTCGTGATATTTACATTTTTAGTGTTTCTCAAAATATAAGTAACCTCAAAATAAACATGAGCAGGTTCCGATAAACTCTCTTTGTTTTACCACTTAGGTAACATTTATTTCTTTTCCTACCCATATTCACATTTATAGTTACTTAAACTCGTATAAAACACTAAATTAACGATTTTCGCTACAGACACAACGACTGTTGTCACCTTACGTCAAACGTCGACGCGCCTGGTAATTTATTACGGCAAATTTTTATCTGGCAATATACGATATTATTATTAGGTTTAATTAAAACGAATTATGTTAATAAATAATATTTTGTATCGAAAATAAAGACTGCAGGCAACCTTCGGAATCACAATACAAACATTTTTACGTAAAAGAATTTTTCCTAAATTAAAATTCACAGTTTTGTAAGAACAATCATTTTTAAATATCATTTCTTAAATTTTTTTTATTTGTTGGTATATTCATTTATTTTAAAATTTTAAAACGGCGGGCACCTTGTGAAGGAACCGAACAAACCTACAAAAAATGTTTTAATGCTTAGAATCACTTCAGGTCAAAGCTGTAGTGAAGAGAAATACGTTAAATTTCGCCAGTTATCTTCGTATTCGGCCTTAAGTGCCATGCAATACAAAACGAACAAATGCGCCGGGTTGTCTTTAATACCGCCATATTCAATAGCGCTTTTGCATTGTGTCTAGAAATTTCGTCGTAAAGAAAGTGTAGTTAATTAGTCGTTCTATAATCGGGTTTGACATTGTCTCCCGTTTTAGTCAATGTATCGTAACCGCATGCCGGCTGAACGTCAGTAAAATGTATTCGTAAATGGCGTCGTATCAAAAACACTTGGCGTTGCAAGCATTATTAAGAAGGCAAGTATTGTAGCTAGGTCTTTTTGAATAAGCCTGATTCTAAATATTGGCTGCAACGATTGGTCGCCTCGCGTCTAAGCATGTCATGATGGATTTACCATGAAAAAAGTTATAATTATAACATAACAAGCGTGTCACAACTTGTCAATTGTCTTGCGAGTTACAAAAATCAAGATTCCTTTCTATCGGTCAATCAGCGAAAGTACCATGCACGCGCTCGGCACTTAACTCGTAATCTTCAAAGTGGAACAGTGTAGTTGATTAATGCTCTTCGGTAGGAAAGCTTGGTTCGGGGATGATGTCTACCAAGGCAGACAGGAATGCAGCCCTACCACATACTAAACTGATAACAGTATAATATAATATAAATTAACCAAGTAACATATAGTTAATTATAAACCAAGAAAATCATATTATCGTAAAACTGAAAAGATGCACAAGAGCAAAACACAGCCAATTGAAGATATTTGTTTCTGCCATCACCAAATAGGAGGTTCGCTTGTCATACTTTTTTCCGTGGACACAGTTGTGCATGAAGGGATTTTTTTTTTACATATTTAGAAAGGGTCCTGTTAAATTGATGATAAATTTGTTTTCATTTAAAAGAGAAAGTTTTAATTAAATAATAAATAATGTTAAAATAGAAACTTTAGTACTCGTACATGTAATTGTTGACAAACCAATTTGTACCACTTTTTTATTGTTAAAATATTTTGTTTTCAGGTCTCGACATACCCCATGTGCGTCACGTTATCAATTTTGATTTGCCATCGGACGTGGAAGAATACGTGCACCGCATTGGTCGTACGGGGCGTATGGGGAACCTTGGTGTTGCCACCTCCTTCTTTAACGACTCCAACCGTGGGCTAGCACGCGATCTCGTCGAGCTACTTGTCGAGGCTAAACAGGATGTGCCCAAGTGAGTTATTCAACTAGCCTACCTATTTTGGTTTAGCAAATTTGGATTTCTATTTACAGTGATGATGGGTTAAAAAGAGATTCCATCATCTTATCTAGAACTGACCTTTAGCTTGTACATTGAAAATAACGAAGAATTAATATCTAGAGTGAGATAGGAGATATGACGATTTTCATAGAAATGGAAACTTTTTTATTCAATATAGATTATAAATAATACTTGAAAGTCACATTTTTTAATTTGCCACTGGTTTAGAAAAAAATCTTGGGAAGGGCCAGCAAGAAACCCAGTGGGACTTTAAAAACAAGACAACAATTAACAACACAAAACAACTTAGAAATAGCTTGGTAGCGATCACTTTTCCCAGGTGTTATTATCATCTTAAAATTCCTTAAAATTATAATAAACCTTTTTTATATAAACTTAGTTTAATAAAGTTTTTAAACTTTGTGCAATTTCATATAATAAGTAGTATCGAGGATGTTTTTTTTACATACATAATACATAAACACTCATGTCTGTTTTTTTATTTTGTAAAATAAGGGTGACAAACAAGCACACAGTCTACCTGATGGTAAGTGTGTATGTATTCATACACATCTACATCTTTCCTTGATTAAGAATCAAAATACATATGCGTTGTCATCTCCAAGAACTTGGAAGATAGAATAATTCGTTACTTCTAAAAGGAGTCTCTTGGTTCTACACACTCACTATAGAAACAGCAGCATTAAGCTGCTATTTCATGCCGGTATTCTATTTCGGTCGAGCCGAGTCATTCGTGCTACAACCAAAGATTTTTACATATACTACATGTCTGGCAATTCAGAACAAAAACTGTATCACAACTGTAAGCGCTAAGGCGGACGTGTGGCTTGGATTTGTGACTCAGGTTTGTTTTTACCGTTTACGACAATTATTGATTTTACGAAAATACGAAATAAAGTCACATATTTGTCTGAAATAAACTTCAAATAATGTTGACAAAGTGTGCAAATCAATAATGACAGTATTTTCTTTGTCACACTAAACAAACTCAGTGTTAGATTACCAAAAACAACGTTTGCAGTGTATAAAACTAAAAACTAGTCTTGCCTGATCGCAGTTGACTAAAGGAGTTACGGGGAATTGCACATAACTTAGTGTGCAATGTATTAAGGCTGGAAAGCCTGTCTGGTTGTATACATAGAAGTCTGGCTAAAACCATGGCTGTGACACGTGTAAAAGTACGCCATACTCGTGGCGACTGGTGCATTTTCGTGATCATACGACGCGTATGCTTGCGGTGTGACAGCTGGCTGACGAGCACGGCGGCGGACGGGCGTCTGGGCGGCGGCGGGCGGCGCGCCGGCAGTCGGTCGGGCGGCGGCCGATCCGGCGGCAGCGCGTTCGGCGCGCGCGACTTCCGCACGCAGCCGCGCCAGCCGCAGCGCTCCGCGGGACCCTCCATGGGCGGCTCCGGTACGTGGCGCGATGATGGATAATCATTATCCACTCACTAGATCATTTATCCTCGATTAAGGATCAAAATGCAGACGCGTTGTCACCCCTGCCGACTGAGATGGAATGCCTCGTTTCCAGTAAAATGGGTCTCTGGTTCTTTACACTCATCATACGATGTTTCGCAGCACTAAACTGCCATTTTACCGTGGTATTCTGTGAGAGCGTGGTCCTACACCGGTTGAGTTGACCTATTGTTTCTATAATTTAGCTATAATATAGCTCCAGCGTTGCTCTTCCAGGAAAAAACACTTTGCATAATACTTATTTGAACCAAATTTCGACGAAAGCGTAAGTTTGTCATGTATTTGACGGCTCCGTGGCGCAGTGGCTTAGCAATGAGTGGCTGCACTGGGGGCCTCGGGTTGGAAACCCACTCGGAACAAGTATTTGTATGGCCTACAAATAATTGTTATGGGTCTAGATGTTTTTGCTTGTGCAATTTATGTTTGTTAACTACCTTCACGATACAGGAGAAAATCCTAGTGTGAGGGTAAAAAATTTTTAAAGAAAAAAGAATTAAAAAAAAGAATTGTTATCATCATCATCAGCTCCATTAAGCGCGAGATTGGCGAGCAGGTTGCAACCGCAGTTTTTTTAAACTTTTTATACAATTGACATCAATAAAATGATGTTGCCCATCTCTTGGTTCAATTTCACTGTATCGCTTCTTATGACAGCCGTGGGATGATAGGTAACGAAAATTCTTACACCGCCACTACACACAGACCGCCATGTGTCATCATCATTTGAAAAGGTGCATTTAAAAAAAAAGTTGATCAGTTTCTAAAGTATAATGAAAACACATATGACAATACCTGGTTCAGAAGAAGTGAAATTGCTCACAGCTAAGCAACTCCTTCTATTCATTGAAGACATAGGGCTAAGCAGTGAACTATAGCAGCGATCACAATAGATCGTTTCGGTCGCAGTGATACTGGTCTCTTTCCCTAGACCTGCATAACTGCTCGCACATAAATAAAAAATTAAAAACAATATCTGGTTTTCTCTTCAATTTCTTTGCACATTTTGTAACTTCTGTTCTTTCTATCTTCTATTTTTAGGAATATCTGTAGAATGGTTTATTTATTCCTAATGTAATTAATATAAATTTTTACCAATATTTCAGAAAGAAACAACCCTTACATTTTCCTAACAAATTAACTTCACCACCATGAAATTGTTAAATATTTCACCATTGGCACCTCTTTGGTGGAGACTTTCTGCCACCAAGTCACAAGTCAATGACAACGGTGTCTGCAAATTGTTACCTTTACAATTATAGCCAGTTAAAAGCACACTGCTAAACATAGGCCACCCCATAATTTACCTCATATGGAGTACTTTTTGTGGTAGACATAAAAGGATTGGTGAATTTCCAAATGTGAAGCAAAAGTAGATTCATCCCGATCTGTGGAGTGATACAGCAATAATTGCACTTGTTTTAATTAAATTTTGACGAACATGCAATTTTGTTATCATCATCGTACGAGATATATTCAATTAAAATAATTTTGACACATTTCGTTCATCTTACTGGAATTACATGTATGTATTTGTTTCGCCCTGTTTCGTCAATCACTTTATTAAGTATACTGATTGACAATCAGTGACAATCGCTTTGTTGAAACAGGGGCTTTGTACGCGCTTTTAATGAAATTAGCGTTTGTGGATTCTAGCCCGTCATTTAAATACTTTCCTGAAAACGACAACTCTTCACTCACTTGTCGTACTTCTTCATCATCATCGGCCTATAAAAGGTTATAGCTAGACATGAGACGCTCGATAGGCGCCGTACCAGATCATTCGCATTTAGACACTGCTGCCTGACGCCCGTCTGAGTACTTTAAAATCTGGCCTAAAAAGGTTGCTTATTCCATAATATGTCGGAAGCCATTTTGTGGTATTTCTCCATGGGTGGCGAAAAGCACCCACAGGACGAAATGGGGTGAGAGATTCTCTTACGCCGCGCCGCCTCTTCCCGTCGAGCCATCACGGCTCTTACTCACAGTAAGCAAAAATATCTGATTATTTTTTAACACAATGCAATATAATATGCAAACTCCAATTACATTTTGCATCCCGTTGATTAACGAACAAGGGAGGCGCATTTTTAAAGGCATATATACCCGGTTATAGCTTAAAATCGTTTTTTATGTCATACAGTGTTAATATTATTCCATTTAGTTGATGATTTGTCTCCTTTTGGTTCAGGAAATCTATCTAGATAGGTATCATCCATTTGCCAATTTCCGCCTACCCAGTCTACTTGGTACTTAGACTTAGGAATTAGAATATCGGCTACTGCCATAATTACATGCGAAAGGAATTTTTAAAGCGAAATGAAAACATTTGGCCAAACATACATATTATTAGAGCCGTGGTAGCTCAGATGGTTAACGCTCGCTGTAAATATAACAGAACGCGAGTAACTCGGGTTCGATCCCCGCCGGCACCAATGAAATTGTTAATTGCAATTTTAATTGCTGATTTACCACGTGCTCGGCGGTGAAGGAAAACATCGTGAGAAAACCTGCATGTCTGAGGAATAAGAAAAAAAATATTTCAAAGACATGTGAAATTCGCCAACACGCATTGGGGCAGCGTCGTGGACGCTTCCTTGCCCTAAAACCCTCTCAGAAATGAGGGGAGGCCTGTGCCCAGCAGTGGGACGTATATAGGCTGTACTTTACTTTTACATATTATTAACATATCGCATAACACCTAACTCTATCACATAACTTTATATTGAGACAGATATATAACTTTTTGCACTACAGTCTATATTCCTTGACTCTTGATCCTGTAATCGTGTTTAGATGTGGTTGGCTTGTGGAGAATATAAGAGATGTATATTAATGCGATCCATGGTTGGACAGGATTCGGTTACGGCGGCGGCTCGTATGGCGGCAACTATGGCGGCTCGTACGGCGGCGGCGGCGGCGGCGGCGGTGGCGGCCCCGACTGGTGGGGTAACGACTCGTAAGCCCGCTCCGTTCCGTCGCACCGCGACCACGCGCCACCGCTACCACCGCGGTCACCGCGTGCTACTCACTCGTCTTCTACTAATCGGACTCCAATTGACCCGTGACTAGGGCCGGCATTCAGAGACAACCGAATCATAAATCGAAACTCCACCCACACAATATCAAAATTTGTATAACCATAGCATGGTCTAGACTCAAATTTTGACAGCTTAAACCCGAGATTATGAACTCAAATTTCAGAATGTTAAAAATTGAGTCTAGATCATACTATGGTTACTCCAATCTTAATGTTGTGGTGTTTGAGCTCAAGCTCGATTGTCTCTGAAAACGAGCCTAAAACTTAAAGTATTAAGTACGATTCAGACATGACGAAATCTGAGCGTGGTAACACGTTTTACAATGCATTATAGAAATGCTTATAAATATCCATAGTTGCATGCAGTTATATATCTATATGTCCATTTGGGTGCTAACGTTTGCGCTCAGATTACCACTTTCCTATCAATTTTGTGTATTGTGGACTGACGCGTTGTTATGCGTGAGGATTTCAGCGTATTTTATGTATTGCGCACACGTCTTATGCGGTACCATCTGCGCCGATACGCTGCGTAAGGTCTGAAGCGTACTTTAATTGTAAGCGGTGCGACAGACACGTTCATGCGTACGGCGGCCCGCGGGCGCTGAATCTCAAGCCTGCTGCCCTCGGGCTCTTCGCCTGTGTATTAAATATATTCTCTTCTTAATATCGTTTCCTCTTGTCCTCCCGTCGTGCTTCACAAACGAACGCGAGTCATACTCGCGATCAACGCTCATAGCGTAAATTGGTCACACGTTCCCGTCTGCGTCATGACACGCGCACGTATTTTGTAATTTTGTTCTCAGTGATGATTATGTGAGAGTAGACAATTTTTAAAGAAATATTTTTAATGTTTGAACTGTATCGTGAATTCGTTAACGAATGATGTAACTGTGTCTTCGATTTAATGTGTAATCTATTTTCTGATGGACTCTATCACTCTGACGCTGGAATTTTGAAGCATTTACGCACTCTTAAAAATTGTAGCTGTCGAATGCGGTAGAAATAGTTTTTGTGAAGTACCGATACAGTATCATAGTGGATAATGGTAATAACTAAATTTTGTCAGTAGATATCCCATTATTGTAACATCTGCCAACAACATGATCAATAATTTGAATGTGAATTTATCAATAAAATTAAGAATCGGAATTATTTGATTTTTATTTTCTATCCGCATAATTTCCTAGCCGATTTCTATTAACAAGTCAAATAACGGAAGTTGTAAACTGCATAGAACATTTTTGATTTAGAGCACAATAACTTTGGAAATAAAGCTAGCTTATACGAGCGTCGGATGACGTTCCGGTGCCTTCGGCTTCCTCTTCCATACTGTCCGAGCATTCAGTTATGCAAGTTTAGGAACGAATTACGTATTTTAATACATATTATTGTAAAGTTCGTGTTGAGATGATATCGATTAGCGTCGCCAAGTCCATCGAGCTTTTGCTCATTCTTAGCAGTTTGTTTAATTTCGGCCTTTGAGTATTAAACCACAGGAAGCGGCATCGCAAGACATACCCCTGTGTAAAAGGTATGAGAGTCCGACCCATAACTTAAAACTAGTTGTGGCGCGTCGTGCCGCAGGTGATCGTGCCAGTCAATCGAGCTCCGGCAAAAATGCCAAATTGAAGTGTATTTTCATGCAAAAGACACTCAAAGTCATATCTACAAAACGACAACGTGACTTTTCTACACCTGTTCGCTCGACAGTGGTACAAATGTGACAGCTAACTTAAAAAAAAAGGTTTACTAAACCTGGAATTAGTAGGCAGTGATGGCAGCTAAAGAATAAAATACATTAATTAAAGTTAATTAACAAATATTGTATATGTTATGTATAATTATAAATAATTATAAGTGACCTAATACAAAAATAACAAATATTGAAATATTTGTTATTTTTGTATTAGGTCACTTGAGTACGTAAATATTTAGATTTACCTTTTTGTAAGTAAAACATAAAAAATACGTAGCATTTCATTTTTTATTGCCCTCAAATGGGTCTAATTTGTCCCTTTTTCTGTGTAGAACTTTTTTAGTAGCAACACTTATGAAATGTCAGAATTCTACGGAATGAAAAATCAAAGTTTAAATACATCTAAGTGAGTACCCCTTATACCTATTTCCTATTCACAAGGGTTGATTTTACATATTTCCAAGAGATCTTAAGCGGCAGACTTGATTGCAGCTTGTAGAAATCATGAATCTTGGATACCTAAACGCACTACCTTTTGCTTCGAACATTTTGATAAATCATATTTAATACCCCAAGCAATCAATAAAACTTTGCACTTCTTGAAAATATTTTAGAATTTAGATAAGTTTCCAATAATGACTTTTTATATTTACGCCAACACTACACATAAAAGAAACTAATGTAATGGATTTTATCGCGTTTAATTTAGACTTTTTAATTCTCGGAGTTTCGGGGGCTTTACAACACGACCTGCGGCACAATATCGATCGTATCTAAGCGAATAGACAGTACACCAAAGAAAGTTAAACTAAAAAGAGGCTTCGAAATAAAAAGCAATAGCATAAAAAGGCTTCAATCGCAGTCATCATCATCATTACAGCCCTTCACAAGTCCACTGCTGAACATAGGCCTCCCCCAAGTAACGCCACAAAGCACGGCCTGAGCCACCTGCATCCATCGACTTCCTGCAAGTCTTACCAGGTCGTCACTCCATCTAGTGGGGGGTAGGCATGTCGATCTAAAATCGATTGATCGAAAAATCGATTCTTTGGAGTAAAATTATCGATTTTTTAGATCGATTCGAAGCACCGAAACGATTCACTGAATCGATCCAAAAACCTATTGAATCGGACCGATTCATTTGATTCAAGAACTAGCTAAAATTCCCAAACTGACTGGGGTAAGATACCACAGTTTTTAAATTTTTTGCTGTTGGGGGACGCAAAAACAACCGGTCGTACTTGGTTGATAATTTGAAAGCAATATATATTTGAATAAAATAAATGTTTATGAACGCATCCAACAATATCGAAAAGTTGTCATTTCATTTTCATTTCTAAAATTCTTAAGCCCACTTTCCACTAAGGGATATAATGTAATTTAATATTACATCTCGAGATATAAATTAATATCGCTCATCGTACTGTTGCATGAATAAGTCAACTAGCGCCATCTAGTGTCAGGAACGAGAGCGAGGGGAGCATTGAGAAAATGACATCACAAATCGCTCAACTGACAGCGCTCCTCGATCGCTCTGTACCTTCCGCGTGTTTACTTGAACATTCTGGATATTTCTTTGCTAATTCAAATATATAGGCGCTGCAAGATGCGATCGAGGCAGTGTTGATTTGGGCGAAACAAGCGAAGCTTCGGAGTGGAATTAAGTGAATTAGTGTGTTTAAATTATTAGTGTTTTAACTTTAATTGTGTAAAGTAAATTAAAGTGTTAATTTAGGTAATTTTATCGGCAATTTTTATTGTCACGAACCTCAAGCTCGTAACAGTACTTTTAAATAGAACCGTTTCCACTGAGGTGTAATATATATTACATCCCAAACTACAAATATTTCTTCGATCGACCGAGCGATATTTTCATATTATTGTGGGCGGTGGAAGGAAAAGGGGAGATCTCCCGCCGGGCAAGGTGTTCTGCCCGGGGAGCGGCCAACACTCCGTGTGATAGTTCGGAGATATTCTATATATATTGTTTATGATTCGGAATTTTGATAGCGTGATTTAGGCTTCGGTGTGTTTCGCTTGCGGCGCGACGACAGCGCCGCCACATCACCCCCTACTCAGACCGGAGGTCGATAGTGCAGCCTCGTTGCCGACGAATGTGCAAGTGCCAGGAGGTTGCCTTGTAGTTTGCGGTGAGTCGAGAAGAAGGCAAGTAATCTGCGAGAGTGCCGTGAAGCAGAGGCGAGCAGTAAGGCTCAGAGCCGTGCCGAACAATGTATAGCGCAGAGAGTAGCTTGAAGGAACAGGAAGCTTTCTTATTCCAGTGCTGCGATGAACCTTGTGAAGCTAGCTGGCTTGCAGGATATGAAGACTGCAGACGACATCTGCTCGGGAGCGAATGAGTAGGGTATCCTATGACGATGATGAAGCTTGAAGTTTCCGAAGATTGTTGGTTGCGTGTTCAGATAACGTCGGATTGTCACCACTGTGGCCGAGGAAGGAAAAGGGGAGATCTCCCACCGGGCAAGGTGTTATGCCCGGGGAGCGGCCAACACTCCGTGTGATAGCTCGGAGATGTTCTATATATACTGTTTATGATTCGGAATGTTGATAGCGTGGATAAAGGCTTCGGTGTGTTTTCGCTTGCGGCGCGACGACAGCGCCGCTACATTATATTTCACCTTCTGTACTATAATATAATATAATATTATAGCTGTGAACCTGTTTGAACTGTAAACTTGTGAATTTACATTATTTAAGTACAGACAGAGTACTTTTTAAATACCTAGATACTATAAAAATTATTATACCGTACGTTGAAGTTTATAGAGGGTTTTATTATTGTGTTTCAATATTGTGTTCGTGTAGCATTCATTTCAATATGATAAATAGTGAGTTATTAGATTGAAACAGATTTATCGAGAAATGTACGTTGCAGTTTGCACTTTTGTAAAAGTATTGTTGTTGTTTTTAGCCTAAAATGTCAAATGAAAGTGTTACGTGGAATCACTTTGTAAAAAAAGGGATCGAGTGGAGTATGTGCGAACCACTCCTAACACAAGCGTTTCAAGCTTACCAGGAGTGGTTAAAAGGAATATTAGTAATGTCAATCAATAAGATTACTAATATTTTATTTAAAAAAATATTACAGTTTAGAAGTTAAAGAAAAAAAAAAACGAAAATTCTTGAAATTTCATGTTTGAAAATGTCGCGATTAATCGAAAATCGATCTTTTATTCAAGATACAAGTACCTTCGATTCAAATC